CCCCCTCGTCCACGACTCAAAATGCAGACTAAAATACAAGCATGTTTAAAACATATTGAAACATATTGGCTTCCTGACTAGATGGTAAGATGCGTTTACAAGTCAAAAACCCAGCAAGCACGGAGGCCTGAAAAGTAAGAGGGCTTTCGTTACTTTTCGGGGTCAGAATTCGTTACTTTCGGGGTCAGGATTCGCACCCAGACTCTATCCCAAGTGAGAGCCCGTGGAAGAGCCAACCTCCACGCCTGGGTACGGCTGCAACTGCTGAAAGTCACACCCTTATCGTCTGGGTGGGTCAGGAATGATGCCCCCTACCCTCGCCACCTGCCGAGGGGGACATAAAAACTCCACCTCATCACTGAGTGAAAGGAACAAAGGTCTCTTCTGTTGATTTCATAGCAATAAGACAGGATTCTCAGGGGGTGGCCGTTGAAATCCACTTCCTACCGTGACATGAAGAAACCTAAAACCAAGAGTTTTATTTAAAGTGACAAGAGAGTGCCCCTGGGCAACTAGCAGAAGCGAAACACATCATCACTGAAGAAACCCGCCCCCAGCCCAAGTCTCCAGGTCCCCAAAATCTCAGCTCGCCGTCAAAAGCCCAAGCACAGACAAGGAAATGAGTTACCGGCAGCAGGGGTTAGGACATAAAGCAGAATCGGGCTTGCCAAGGCTTCCTGCGTTGCTACCACCCGATGCAAAAAAAACCAACCAGTAAGTGTCTTGAAAAGACTGGAAATAAGAGTAAAAATGAAACAGAATGTCCACTCCGAGTGTCGGCAAGCCTGGGGGGGAAGCAACACTCTCCCTGCCGCTACTGGAGATGAAAAACAACACAACCACTTTGGAAAACAGTTTCTCCGAACAGTTGGGCGGTTTCTCAGAAATTAGTTATGCATCCACCACATCATGTGTCCATTCTACTCTTAGGTATTTGCCCAAGAAAATGTAAAGTATGCATCCATACAAAGACATGTATAGGGATATTCATCATTGTTTTATTCTAACAGCCCCAAACCGAAACAAACCAAATGTCTACCAAACAATGACTCCAGAACCAAACTGAGACATTTCTGCCCTACTTAGTAATAAAAAAGAATAAATTATCATACACACAGCAACATGGAGGAACCCCAAAACTGTCATGCTGAGTGAGAAAAAAGCCAGCCCCTCAACCAAAGACATAGAGTATATAGTGTATTATTATATTTCTATAAAATTCTATTTTTTTAAAGATTTTATTTATTTTTAGAGAGAGGGGAAGGGAGGGAGAAAAAAGAGGGGATGAAACATCCATGTATTGCCTCTCACACACCCCCTACTGGGGACCTCGCCCGCAACCCAGGCATGTGCTCTGATTGGGAGTTGAACCAGCGACCTTTTGTTTCACAGGCGGACACTCAATCCACTGAGCCACACCAGCCAGGGCTGTATAAAATTCTAGAAGAAGGGAACAAATCTATAGTGACAGAAAACACACCAGCAATTACCTTGGGCTGGCAGGGTGCCAGGGTGGGCAGAAGGAAGGAATCACAAAGGGACACGTGGAAACTTTGGGGTGGCTGTTGGTTTCACAGGTGTGCAGCTGTGTCAAAACTTATTACGCTGCATACTTTGAATGTGCATAACACTAAAACTCAATAAGCCCTTTAAAAAATAAGTGCATTAAGAAAATTAGTAAAATCTTAATGATAGATCTGAACAAAGTGTCTAGATTATAGCCTAGAGAGACAAAGGTTTCAAAAGTGGAGGCTGGGGGCACGGAAGACCAAGAGCGTGTATGGCGCATTGGTTCAGCGTTCTGGAAAGAGAGGGCAGGGAACGGGGTCGAGGCGGCATCTGCACAGCAACACCAGAGTGTTTCCTGGGTGGGCATCACGCCCCAAATGACGAAAGCCCAGTGGACTCTTCACAGAGTGAACAAAAGCAACCCATACCTCTAGACATCCAAGTCCAAGTGTGGAACACCAAAGATTGCAAGGAGATCTTAAAAGCAGTCAGAGATGAAAGGCCTTCCAAGGACGGGCAAGGAGGCTGAGAGCTGACTTCTCCAGCACGAAGCAGGGAAGTGAAGGGCAGGGTGACCCTAGTTCTCCATGCTGGGGGGAGTCCGCCCAAGACTGCAATCCCCCCGGGCACCTGCCTCAGCAACAAGGATAGTTCGCAAATAATCAAGGAAATCACTGTACTCTCAGATGGATAGAAAGGCACCAAGAAGATGCCTCTGACAGAAGACAGCGAGCCAGAGGGAAGGTCTGCCTGCCACGTGGGAAGAATGAAGACGTGAGAGGTCAGCCGTGGGCAAGGAGGAGTGGAAGGGCTCAAACAGACAAGTAACAGGCTTGGGAAACACATGCAGTATATGTAACAAGCAAAGAACACAGACAAATCCGGAATGTGTACAGAACCCTACAAATTCCAGATGGGCAAAGCAGTTTAACACCTATAAACAACAAACATTTCCAAGAACGTTGGCACGGGGCCACACAGGAAAAGCCCAAGGACGCGGCTACTGTGCACAGGACCTCGTGGTAACTTGTCCAGTTGAAGATGTGATTATCTCATAATCTAACGACTCCACTTTCAGGTATATTTCTTAGAACACTTCTTGCCCTGTGCCCAGGGAGGCATGTGTACGCACGCTCGTTGCAAAGTAAGCGTACAAATTCTGGAAACAAATTAAATGCCTATAAATTAGGGAATAAAAAATAAAATGCGCTCTACATCTGGAAGGAACACTCTACAGCAATGAAGGTAATGAACTTGGTCTGTCTGTCATAGCACGGCTGGGTCTTTGGAAACACAGTATTGAGTTTAAAAGTCAAACTGGAGGACAATCAATTTAGTACGATCTCTACAGATACATTTTAAAGACAGAAATCAGTATTATTTTATAATATTAGTGGATACCTTGATTTGCAAAGTATGAAAACAGGAATTGAAACAATTAGTGCCAAATACACAAAAGTACACAATTGTCTTTTGTGTTTTATTTATCTTATTTTCCATAATATGTAAAGTAACAGTTCATGTGTTTTATTTTCTAAAGGCTCAGAAGCAAACATGACAAAACGTTAATATTGGTTAATTATGGATTGTTACCCAGAATCTGTTATATAGCTTCTGAGCTTTTCTGTATTTTTTATTTTTTATGTTTCAGAAAAAGAGAACGGATACTCTGACACACAAAGGTTACCATTCTCTGTGAGCTTAGGCCAGGGAGGTCCGCGCTACAGTATTTGATATTCTGTAGGACGTTAAGGGAACTGAAGTGAAATGGGGAAGTGAATTTTAAGAAATCAGCTTCTTTCTTGGGGAGAGAACACACAGGTTGATAGATGATAGGGACGTGTACATAGGTATGTGAGTGGGTAGATGGGTGTATAAACTGAGACATACAGGAATACACACAATCATGGGTATGTAGGTGGGAGGGTGGATGGGTGGGTGATGGATGGGTGATTGGATGGATGAGGAGTGGATGGAAGGATCCATGGAGGGGCGTAGGGGTGATAGGCAAGAAGAATGATGTCCAGACCCTGGTCCCCAGAACCTGTGAATGGGTCACCTTCCATGGCAGAAAGGACTTTGCAGGTGTGATTGTGAGGACAGCAAGACGGTGAGGTTGTTGGGGCGAACCCCATTTCCCACCAGAGTCCTTACGAAGGGAAGAAGCAGCATCAGACTGTGTCAGAGAGATGACGGGGGTTGGAAGGACAGGATGCAGTTCGAAGCAGAGCAAAGCTTCGCTCCTCCAAGGAAACTCCAGGTGAGTCTCGAGCCCACCGCAGGCCGGGGAGCCCCAGGGCGAGCCTCTGTACAGCATATGAGCACTGGAGGAAGGCTCGTTCACTCGAGTCCAGGTCCCTGGGGAGGTCATGTGACCTCTCTGTGTCTCAGTTTCCTCTGGAGAAGAGTGGGGGGTCACGGCACTGCACCCAGCCCAGAGCAGCCCTCAGAGACGGCCGCTGTGGCTGCCCGGTCCTGGCAGACAGTTAAAGGAGGATCAGGGGGCCTCAGAAGAAGGTGCCACCTGCAGCCACCAAGGGCTGAGTGGCTGTGGGGCAGAATCCGGGATTGGTGTTGCCTCGTGAAGAGTGCCTAGGCCCTGGGTCAAACGGTGACAGCGGTTTGGGGTGGGGGGGTGGAGGCTAAGCATTCCAGGCCTGGGAGGTTGCTGGGGGCAGCAGGGGGATGCAGCGGGCAGGCTGGGGGTCTCAGGGATGTGGTGTCCGAGTCCTATTAGAGAATGGGAGAGGGCCAGCCAGATGGCACTGAGTCGCCCTGAGTGGGAGGGGAGGAGATTGGGAGAAAAGAGACGAAAAGTTTCATGGGGAAGGGCAAGAGGGAGCAAGAGCTGGATAGAGGATGCTTTATACCTTGTACGCTGTGGGCAGCCCGATGGCTTATGAGCAAAAAGGAGCAAGAGAATCAAATAACAAAATTAAAACCCACTTGTCCCCCGGCATTTGCTGCCGGTGTATCAGGAACACACGCACATCCCAGAGAAAAGTCCGGAAGGGCACACACCTAACTGTTAGCGCTGATTATCTCTGGTGGTGAGATTACTAGGGTGTTTTATTGTCTTCTCTTTGCTCATCCGGACTTCCTAATTTTTCTGCAATGGACATGCATCGCTTGCATAATTAAAAAAGCAATAAAAGCTGTAAATAATGAACATGCTCTCTCTTCAAGACTTAAATGGGGTGGATGTGTTTTCAACTCAGTTATTTCAAACGTTTGCCAGATTCCTGGCCTTAGAAAGGCACCCCTGGAAACCACCCAGCCTGTGTGGGGTGGACAGACCGGGGCAAACTGAGCGCTTTAATGGTGCAGCTCCAGACGACCCTGGTTCCTAATCAGGCACCCTGTCTCAGGGGTACAGAGAAGCCTTTGGGATCCCATGTGAGTTGTTCCTGGGGGTGTTAGGGGCACTGCGGGCTGCAGTTATCAACACGACAGGCACAGGGGCACATGCCAGCAGTGGCCACAGACCCTACCTTCTCAGTGTTTTCTGCTTGCTGCTCGCACGGGACAGCTTCACCCTCCTACGAGGCGGTCCTTTCTTCCACGCTGGCTCGGTCCCCGGGTCCCGGGATGTCACCCCTGGGGCTGTCGAGTAGGAGAGCTGAAAATACCAGGCAGGTTGGCATCGTATTGCTCAAGCCCTGACGATGGGGACACACAGAAGGGTTCTCTCTCTGCAGACAGGATGCCTGTCTGGGGAAATCAAGGCATGGAAATGCTGCATCGCCAAAGGTTCCTGGGAGGAACCTTCTGGAACCCCGCCCAGGCTAGATCCACAGAGGAAAACCCAGACGTCTGGCATTAACGGGAGGTCCAGGGAACACCATGGCCAGCTCTTCCCCTCCTCTAACCCCCCATCTGCAGGACCCCCACCCCTGCTCACAGCCTTTTGGACGATGGAGGCTGAGAGAGACACCCCCCCTCAGACCCGGTGCCTTCTACGTTACCGTATTTTGCTGTGTATGATGCACACCCACGTTTTTGGCCCAAACTTTCAGAGGGAAAAAAATCTTTTGTTTTAATTTTTTACTTCAATTTTTATTCATTTATTCATTCAACTTTTTTTCATTTTTTATCCACTTGTATTTACAAACGAAACCAACTGTCGTATTCCAGGGTATTATTTTGTATACTGATGTCATTATTGCTTTCTAGACTTACACTTTTAACGCATAAGCATAAATAAAAGAATTAAAAACATTTATATAAATATGGAACTGGTACTCCCGTGCATAATGTGCACCCTTATTTTTCCCTTAAAAATTTGGACCAAAAAAGGCGCATTGTATACGGCAAACTACAGTGACCCGCCTGTCTCAGACAGGCGCGGCCACTCCCTCGGGCCCCGCCCTCCCGGGGGAGCAGCCTGCCCTGCCCTCGTCCCAGACAGTGAATCAGCACAGGGGCTCCAGGACCCTGCTCTGTGGCCCTGGTCTGAGACACCCCCAGTTATAAAATCTAGGTGAATGGACCCGTTCTCAAGATGGGACTGTACACTTATCGTTCAGTCACCAAGTGGGAACTTTCTAGGGCCCCCAGTTCCTTTCCCTTTTGGTCCCTGGCCCCAGGAAACTCAGAGGAAAACTGCGTCTGACTGTGGGGAGTATTTATCCAGAATCCCTGGTACGATGACTCTCCCCTTGGAGAGGCGCTTTTGTTTGTCTGTCTGTTTTACCTGGAGTCTGTCTCCCAATAAGCGTCCCTGGTTTATAATCTTAGACAATCCAAAGAGCTCTTATGAGCAGCATTTTCTTTCACTTTTTGCCTCTGTTACCAGGAAGCTCAGAGTTAAATTTTATGTCTAATAAGGAAAAATATCTCATCCAGAGTCTCAGGTGCAGTAGTTCTTTCCCTCAACATTTATTTTTTCATGATTTTCTTTTGTCCTGCATTTCCGGCCTTCCTTCTCTCCTGCCCTTGTCGTGGAAGCCCCTGTGTCCCTCCAGGAGCTCGTGCTAATGGGCAGAGGCCGCAGAGGTGACTCTCCGCACTGAGCAAGCTCCCTCAGCCCGGGGCCTTGGGGCAAAGATGTGTTACCTTCCACGGCCGCGTCTCCCCTCCTTCTGCCGGGCTGGTCCTGGTCCAGCGTCCCCACGCTGCCTTGCTCACCGGCCTGGTGTCCGCGCCCTGGGCCAGAGAGCCGCGGCCAGGGCGGTGCAGCGCCCAGCACATGGAGGCGGCCTTCTCCCCCTGCTCCGTGGGCAGAGGCAAGCTGCGGCTCAGGCAGCACCAAGTGAGCTGGGGCTCTGCCTTCAGTGAAGGGAAGGGGCCCTGGGGCCCACAGCCCCCGGGGCTACCTGAGGGGATGCTTGAGGCCATCCCGGGCTGGCCTGGGGGCAAGAGGACAGAGCTGGCCTGCAGAGAGCAGTAGGGACGGTGTCCCGCTGGGGGCCCTGGAGGAGGGCCTTCTGGGACATTCTCAGGGGGCTCTGCCACGTCCCTGTTGAGTGGCGGGGGATCCAGGGTGCTGGAGGAGGCCCGGGCCCTGGTCCCAGAGCTGCCGGAACAGAGGTGCCCCGGGGCGTGGGTCTCACTCCCCCAGGAGTCACGGGCCCAGGTGGGCAGGACGGAGGCCGTCTCCTGGAGGGCCCCGGCGCTCAAGCTGGCAGGCTCCCCAGATTGCGGGGTGCTGGCGTCCAAGGCTCCTTCCTCTTCTCCCGGCACCCCTTTTCTCCAGCCCCACAGCCTGGGGTCCTCCTCGAAGCTGTCTGCTCTCCCTGGGGCCAGGCCTGAGGCTGGGCGGGGAGACAGGAGGGTCCCCGGCTCTGAACCGACGGAGGACACCAGGTCCTCGGGCCCCCGGCTTCTGCAGGGGCGGCCCTGGGCCCCAGGCGGGGGTGATGGGCTCTCTCCCCGGGGTAACCTGAGGAGGTACTTGGGGGGAAAGGTGGTGTCTGTCAGGGCTGCTGGGGTGTCGGGAGCCTGAAGCTGGGGTGCCAGCGGCGAGGGGACCCCCAGGACTGTAGCTTCAGGACCAAGTCCGGGCTCCTTGTCCTTCAGCCTCGGTGTCAGGGCCACCAAGGAAGCAGAGAAAGATGCACCACGGACCTCCGAGGCCTGGGCCCCACCCCTCACAGTGCACTCAGAACCCCTGTGCAGCTCTCCGGGCTTGTCCCCAGGGCCACTGTCCGGCTTCCAGGGTGGCAGGGGGGCAGCCTGTCCAGGGGGCCCTGCGGTCTGGCCTCCTGCTCCCAGAGTCCCCCGCTGCTCTGGGGGGGCCGGCCCCTCCACCTTCAGCTTCTTCCTCTCTGAGGGCAGCTGGGGCTCCACAGGCCGGGGCTCCCCAGGGCTGCTGCCCGGCCGTCTCAGGAAGCAGAGGGCCTGCTCTTCCGTGTCCCCATCATCCTGGGCACCTCCTTCCAGCTTGGCGTCTGGCAGCCTAGGAGCCTCTAGGTCCCCACCTTTGAGGGGTCCAAGTGCTGGGGGCAGAGGACACCCCAGATCCAGCCTCCCGCGTGGAGGAAGGACAGGGCTCTTGTTGCCCGAACTCGGGGACTCTCTGCAGATGCAGGTGGGGGGCGACACGGACCTGCTCTCCCTGGGCTGCTCAGTGCCTCCTGCTCCGGCCGCCATCTCCCTCCGCTTGGGGGACTCAGTCACCAAGAAGCCGTCTGTGGCTGGCGGACTTTCCAAAGGCCCTGGCTGGGCGCCCACAGAAGCGTCCCCACAGACAGGGGTCCTGCCATCCTGGGACACGGCTGCACCCTCGCCCCCCGCTGCCCCTCCCTGTGGAGGAAGGTCCTGCTCTGCGCCGCACCCCACCCTCCCCTCCCGCGCCCTCCTGCCCCCCTGGCGGGTGGCTCTCATCTGCTGGTAGAGTCTCTGGAACGTCTCGCGCCCGTACACCTGCCACTTCTCCTGGGAGAACATCTGCAGCCTCCTCTGGCCACGCCTCCTGCCGGCCCCTCGGCCCTTGCCGGCCACCCCATCGTCCCCTGCCCCCACCCTCTTTCCATCCAGGTCCTCTGTAGGGGTCATGGTGTCTCTAGTGGGGGGACCCGGAAGGTCCTCCACCGCAGCCTGTCTCACCAAGGCCCGGGGGTGACCGCTGGGGACATCCGCCAGTCGGGCAGGGCTGGGCCTGGGGCTCAGTGGCTTCTGCCTCCAGGGACCGGCGTCCTGGGGGTCCGGCCATGTCCTGGTGCCCTCGACAAAGGGCAGCGAGTTGCTCCTGGTGACAGGGACGCACTCCGAGCTGGTGGAGAGCTGGGTGGGGACGGAGTGGAAGAAGAGGGGCCGCGCCTTGTCCAGGGGCGTGCAGGTGGAGCGGGCGGGGCCCAGGGCGCCGGGCCGCCTCCGGCCAGGCTCGGGCGCCCGGATCTCGAAGTGGAAGGAGTCCTTGTAGGTGTAGGGCATGGGCAGGTCGATGCTGCCCTGCTTGGACAGGACGGTCTTGCGGGGCCGCACGTGGTCCAGCTGTGGGTCGTCCACCACGGCCTGGTTGTGCGAGATGAGGCGGGCGATGCGCTCCTCCAGCTGCCGCTTCTCCAGCTCTAGGCTGGGCCCCCGGCCACCCCGCTCGGCCCTGGCCGCCCCGGGCCCCGGGGCGCCCTCCCCCTCAGACTCGGGGCTGTGTTCTGACAGGCTTCGCAGGGGGCTGCTGGGGGGCAGCGGCTGCTCCACGCTGTCAGAGCGGGACAGGTAGCCGGAGTCCGTGCTCTCACACTTCCTCAGCCGGCCCTCGGAGGCCTTGGCGTCCCCTGGCTTCTCCGAGAATGGTGCCTGCGGCTGCGCCAGGGAGCAGAGCCTGCCGGCCGGTGGACCCCTCTGATCCTGCAGCGGGCGCCTGGGCTGGGAAGCGGCCGCGGGGAGCCCAGTGCCTGCCGTGCGGGCCTCTCCATCAGCAGGCGTGGGCCCCGGACAGCACGCAGCTTCCGATTTCAGATCCAGGCTCCTGGAGACGGGGGACGGATGCGTCGGGGGCACCGGGCAGTGCCCGGCACCCTGGGCCCCTGGAGAAAGGGGTCTCTCTGGCGGGGCCCCAACAGCGCCACCCTGGCTCCAGCTGTCCCCCTTGCCGGCTGCCCTGGAGGTCTCTCCGGCCTTGTCCCCCTCCTCCAGGAGGCTGCCCCCAGTGCCTTCGGACTCAGAGGACAGCCGGGCGTTGTTGAAATGCGTCTGAGTACGTCTGTGCTTGTACAGGTTGCTCTGGGTCTTAAAGGCGATGCCGCAGGTGGTACACGGGAAAGGCCTCTCTCCAGTGTGGGACCGAATGTGCTTCTCCAGAACACTGGGTTTCAGGCAGTCCCGGCCGCAGTGTGGGCACAGGTACTTGCCGGCATGGCGCGCCTTCCCGGGGCCGCCCAGTGCAGGCCCTGGGCACGGCGACAGGACAGGAAGAGCGCCCACGATGTTCACAGTGAGCGTCGGGGTCGCTGGCTTCCCGATGGGGGCGGGGCCAGGCCCTTCCGGATGCAGCAGGGGGCTGAGGAGGAAGGGCACGCTGCCGCCATCCAGGCTGCCAGTCACCAGGGGGGCCCGTGGCTGGAGGCCCCCGGGAGGCACCGTGTGGTACAGCGGGATGGGCAGCGCCTTCAGGAACACGGTGGGGGCCAGCCCCTGCTCGGGCGGCAGGAGGACGGGGCCCAGGGTCAGGTGGGTTGAGGCCTGCCCCCCTGGGGTCCCTGGAGGTCCAGGAGCAGGAGCTGGCTGGTCCCTGGCAGGTGAGGCAGGGCAGGTGAGTTCTGGCACCTCCATCCCGTGTCATCTGGGTGACCCTGGGTGACCTGTGGGCAAAACCAAACATCAGCATGGGCCCCTCTCATTCCATCACACAGCACTCTCTCTGCCTCTCACCAGGCGTTCGTCACCCCAGGGAGCCTGGCAACAGCCCCCCAGAAGAGTGCTCTGATCCCCATGTCAGGAGAGTGAAGCGACTTGTCATGTGGCTGATGCGTGGCAGAGCGGAGTTCACATCCAGGGTGGGAATCCTGTCTCTTAGTTGACATGTCCAAGAGGAGCTCTCGATTCTTGCCCTCGACTTGGGTCACAGCAGGCTGGTCCCTGTGACGGGGCGGAGCACCTCCCTAAGGCCCGTCCCGCAGGGCAGTTCTGAGTCTCCACTGTCGCTGTTGGTGGGGGCAACAGGGAAGAAACCGAACCTGGGGGCGAGCTTACAGGACCCAGCCTAAGAAAGTAAGGCACAAGCGGTGGAATCTGAGTCCCAGAGGAACAGCGCACGGTCCCTCGGGGCACAGCCCAGACCTCGCACGTGCCACCCACGCCGTCCCGATGGCACCCGGCACCCTGGGTGCCTCCTGGCCCCCCAACCAGGAAAAGGAGCACTTCCCCCACCTGGGGACAGGCTTGGGTCTCCGCTCCGGGGGGCAGCTTTCTGGCCCCCCTGGATCCAGCTGGGACACAATTGGTTCCTGGTCAGCCAGGGGTACAGCACGGGGCAAAGGCTAGGCCAGGGAGCCAGAGAGCCCCAGCTACTCTCTCCAAACCCCGGGAGGGAAGGCCAGGTGCCAGACAGGACTGGAGGTCCAGAGCTTTCTTCCTCAGGCAGACACCCCCCCAGGGCTCGGTAAGCACACTCCAACCAACCCCCAGCCCCACTGCTCCTGAAAACAAATCCAAATTCCAGCCTTCAGCAGCCGGACGGCTGCAGCAGGCGGAGGGAGGGGGCATGCAGGGGCCCGCTGGAGCCGGCTCAGACCGGCTCACACCAAGAGCTAATGGTTAAATTTCCAGGAACTCTGCAAGTCCATTGTTAAACATGGCCATAAGTAAAAGCTGAATTATCTAATCTTACAATTAAATAGCTTCTGATAAAAGGTCCTACCACCAGATATTCCATGCAAAAGAATAACGTGAAACCCCTACCTCACACCTTGTGCAAAAAACTCAGAACTGATGAGTTAAAACCACCAAACTCTTAGAAGAAAACATAGGAGTAAACATTACTGGCTTTGGATTTTATGCAATAAATTCTTAGATGTGACGTTGGAAAAAATAGCACTTCAAAAAAACAAGATAAATTAAGACCTCTTCAAAATTAAGAACTTTTGTGCCAAAAAGGACGCATACAAGAAAACGAAAAGAAAATCCAAAGAAGGAGTGAAAAACGCTTGCGAATCATATATCCAGAATATATAAAGAACTCATAACTCGATAACGAAAAGGCAGACAAGTCAATTTACAGCTGAGCAGGAGACCTGACGAGACAGTTCCCCAAAGATACACAAAGGGACAAAAGTGCATGGAAAGATCTTCAGCATCATTAGTCCTCAGACAAATGTAAATGCAGACACCAGGAGGTGTGACTTCATACCGACTGGCACAGCTGTGGTAACAAGAGTGACAAACCCGAATTAACAAGCGCTGGTGAGGCGGTGAAGCTGGAACCTCTGCGCGCCTCTAGCAGGAGTGTGGGGTGGTACAGCCACGTGGAAAGCAATCTGGCTCCTCAAAAAGGTAAACGCAGGCCTACTATGTGACCCAGCACGCAGTAGGGTAAATCCCGCTTCTAGGGACATACCCAAAGAACTGAAAATGGGTATTCGAATAAACACATGCACTCCAGTGTTCACACCAACATCATGCAAAACAGCCAGGATTGTAAGCCACCCAAGTGCCCATCAGCTGAGGAACACGTGTTGTGTAGTCAAAGGTTTCCAACAGAAAGAGGCGGAGTAAATTAGCGCTCTCTGGAGTGACATTCAGCAGAATGTGTGAGGATGCCAGCGCAGTTCGCACCTGTGGGGACTTGCCCCGGGCACCCACCCAAACGTTCATGGAGCACTGCCCTGGGGACAGGTGCTGTGTCCTGTGTGTCCTAGGTGTTGGTCTCCTGGAGGGTGCCCCTGTCACAGAGGTTACAGAGCTTATATCCTAGTTAGGGAGACAGATGAGAAAGTTTTTTGTATAAAAATTACATCTCGTGTCAGAATGGTGTTGTGGAACAAAGAGACCTTGGCAAGGAAGGATAAAAGTGTGGTGTTGGTGTTTGGGGGCGGGGTCCTAGCGGGGAGGGAGGGAGGGTGGCCATGGTAAATGGGACGGGTCAGGTGAACCTCACTGAGAGGTGGTGTCGGAACAGACTCAGGAGGCCGTGATGGGGTGAGCGTGCAGGTATGGGGGGCAGAGCGTGCGAGGCACGGGGAACAGCGGGAGCACACTGATGTGCCAGAGACGCGGCACACTACAGACAAAAAGGGGACACATGCGCCGCCGCCAATATGTTGTGGTTCTTTCTGGGAAAACCTTCACTTCCCCTCAGCCTTTGTTTCTTCACCTACAAGATGGGAGGGGGGGTGGGCGCGGGTGGTCTGGGTACAAAAAGACTTGAGATTGTCGGCACAGAGGCACCGCTGTTAGTCATGTGACCAGTGGGAGGGCGGCCTGGATTTTGCTGTGACCCATGCTGTCCCCCACGGCAGACGGTGGAAGCGCGGCGTCCAGCACTATTGTTGGCTGAAAGGCAAGCCCAACACGAGGGTGAGAACGGTCACCGAGGACCACGCCCTTCCCCCAGGGAACACAGCTTTGAAGGTGACCTTCGCTCGCCGAGTTGCATCCCAAGAGCACCTCTTCCCACCGTGGGCCTGGCCACGCGGGAGGTTCGCCTTGACCCCTCACGGTCCAGGACTCAGGAAACACCATGGCACACGACGCCGCCATCCACAGCCACCGACACGCTCCACACAGACCTATCTGTTTATGGTGCGAAATCACATAATTTGAAATATTGTGTTGGAGACGGTCATTGTTTAGTATAATTACATTAATTAGTCAGGCAAATAGCAAACAGATGCGAGGCTGAATTCAAGGCAGGGGAGGCCGAGGGGACCCAGCGGATTACCAGAGCGAACCCTACACATTGAACGGCTCGCTTCGGAAACACCTGCGTGTGCACACGCCAGACGCATGCACAGACACGCAGCAGTGGGGCGGGGGCCTGAGGGCTTCACCCCTAAAAGGCATGGGTGCTACTTCGACTTCTTGTTTTTTACTATTTCTAAATTTATTTCTCAGTTACCGTGGATGCGTGTTCACTAGAGCCCGCAGAGGTGCTCTTTCAGCTGCAGAGACGCACCCCCAGCTTTCCCACCCACCCCAGAGGCAGGGCACGTGTCCTTAACTCAAGAACAACTTACACACCGTGCTGTTCACCCTCGCAGTGTCGGGCGGCAAGAACTTGGATGAACAGCCACAGTTGTGTAGCTACCAGCAGAGTCTGCCGCAGAAGAACGCGCCACCCTGCCTGAACCCAGCCCACCCAGAGTGCCCCTACCGCTTTGGGTCAGCCCCTTCCTCCACCCCCAGCCCCTGGCGGCCACAGACCGATTTCTGTCCCTGTAGTTTTGCCTTTTCAAGAATGTCGTATAAATGGAGTTGTCAACTGGGTCACTCCCTCGGTCTAGCTTCTTTTGCTCCAAGTTCCCTCCTTGTCACAGCTGAGCAGTATTCCGGGGTGTGGTGGTGCCAAAGCGTGTGCATGCGTGCCCCTTCCTGCTGGGTGGGGTCAGATGAGGCCTGCACGGGGGTCTGGAAAGCCACTGCCATCCACCAGCGGGAAGACTCCCTTACCTGCAGTGTCCGGGGAAGTCCCTTGGGGAGCAATGCCGAGTCATCCTGCGTCTTCCGGGCTCTCCCACCTCCCAGGGAGAGTCCTGGGGTGGCCTCCTGGGGAGTCAGAACCACCAGCCGCACCCCACCCCCGGCAGTGAGAAGGAGCTCGTTCCTGGGGGCCAACAGAGACTCAGTGGGCGACCTGGACCTCTGTCCACACTCTCCTCCCGCTGAGCAGGACCAAAGAACACCAGCTAAAGCAGAAGGCTTAACAATTCAGACTCTCATAATGTAGCACCCAAAACGTCCACGTTTTCTTCGAGCCGGGAAGAGCTCGAACTGAGCAAAAAAGCGACAGTCCGAGAGGGGTGCCAGCACTCTCGGCAATTCTCCGGCAGAGAGGTTGGAGCGGCTATTGGCAAGGTGTTCCCACACACACTCACAAACGCACTTGGAACAAACAGGAATGAGAAAGGCTCAGCAAAGAAGTAGAAAATTTTAAAAGTGACCAAATGGAAATTTTAGAACTGAAAAACGCTGCCACCAGACCAACCTTTTGAAAATTCAGTGGGTGGGCTCAGCCGCAGAATGGCGGGAGGGAAAAAGAACCAGTGCGTTTGAAGAAGATGGGACGAGAGAAATGGCCAATCTGAACGCCTGAAAGGAAATGGAGCCCTGAGACCTGTGGGAGTGACAAAGGGACCGCACTCTTGCCATCGCGTCCCAAAAGGAGAGGAGAGAGGGGACTTGGCAAAAGCCGTCCAGGAAATAATGGCTGGAAGCTTCAGTTTGGTAAAAGACATCAGCCTATGGCTTCAGGAAGCCGCTGACCTCCGAACAGGATAAACCCAAAGAAATCCTCACCAAAACACACCAGTCAGAACTTCTGAACTATAAAGACCCAAAACATAATAATAATAAAGTGCAATAAAACATTCTCGAAAGCAGAGAGGAAATGCTCCGTCGTCTGTATGAGAAGACAACTCCTAATGACAGTAGGTTTCTCTTCAGAAGCTCGGAGGCCAGGAAGAAGTGACAAGCCTTTTTTCAAGGGATGAAGAAAGAACTGTCAACTCAAAACTCTGGGTGTCCAGCAAAAAGATCCTTCTTGAGCAAGGGAGAAATGCAGGCATTAACAAATCATGGAAAACAAAGAGAATGTGTTGCCAGCAGAGCAACCCTAAAGGAATGGCCCAAGAACGTTCTCCAAACA